CTCTCTGAAACTCACTCAGGAGACAAACTTCAGAACGGGTTAAAAGGAAAACACAGATGCAAACCACCTCATGGAACAAGAGCTGATTGGTTTTGCTTCTGTAGAATAACTGTCATTTTAAGAAACCGATAATAAAAGTCAAGAATTTTTATTACTTTACCTCTACGCAGAAAATAACCTACCTTCTTCATGTACTCTGTGACTGGGTTCTGTTGTAAGAATTCAGTACTTTCTCGTGTATAAAATCTCTCTGTGTCAGCAAGAAACTGAGATTCAAAGGACTCTTTATAGACAGTTAGTGTAGGCCCTTTCGCAAATGCATCATCTTCATTCAGCCCCAGTTCCACTACAAAAATGAGCAAACAATGATAAGCCTATCTTTTACGAAGTAGTCCCTTGCAAATACCTTCCAGTTCCTGAAGGGGGTTTACAGGAAAGCTGGAGACAGATTTTTTACCAGGGCATGTAGCAATAGAAAAAGGGGAAATGGCTTTAAACTGGAAGAGGGCAGATTTAGACTAGATATTAGGAAGAAATTCTTTACTGTGTGGGTGGTGAGACACTGCAACAGGTCGCCCAGAGATGATGTGGGTGCCCCCTCCCTGGAAGCATTCAAGGCCAGGCTGGACGGGGCTTTGGGCAACCTGGTCTACCCCTGCCTGTAGCAGGGGGTTGGAACCAGGTGATATTAAACGTTCCTTCCAACCCAAACCATTCTACGATTCCATTCAGTAAACAGGTCAGCCCCCCCGGCTTAAATGAAGGTAATCAACTGTGACAAAATCAGCATCACTTTTTTTTTTTTTTTTTTTTTTTTTTTTTTTTTAAGTTAGCATTTATTTTGTACTTAAAAAATAAGCAGTGTAAGTCGTTACCCATATAAACTGTACTTCCTGATACAACAGATTACAGGAAATGACAAACTTCACATTCCCAAAACCTGGTTAAAATTACCCTTCCATATTTCCCCTCTTAGGCTTACCGGTTATAAGCACATATTTTTAGCAATTAAACTGATAATTAATCTCCAAAGCTCTCAACTTTATGCAAATGGAAAAAAATGAACACTCCATTTCATCAGCTATCATGTTTGTACCTTTCTAGTATCTTCTCCTACAAAACTGATCAGTAAGCAATCAGTGCTCGTCTATCAATTCTCTTTTCAATCTTGACAAATATTTTCTTAACTGGAATTGTGTGTATAGCATCTCTACACAGATAAAAAGAAACTTCTAGTAAAATAAACATAGTTGTATCGAAAGTATCTATACTGGACATCCAAGGAAATGGCAGCCTACTTCTGAGTTCTGATAAGATTATTATTCTAACTTTTTAAAAAAGAAAATAATAAAACTTTAAAGGAATCTCACTTACCATAAGATTGTACGACTCCACTGATCAGCCTTGTATTGATAGTTTCACCATTTCTTTCCTTTTCAATCAATTTCAATACAGCATTCGTTACCTTAGGGATCAGAGAATAAAACCAAGTCAAGAACAGAGAAAAGTCTGATAGGTCATGAACAAGATTTAATCAGGAATGTATTCCTATATTCAAGACAAATTAAGACTATACTACAATTAGTCATGAGTCACAAAAGAGTATGAATATGCTTAAGATTTTTGTGTTTGTTCCCTTTATTTCGTTTTTTTCATTCTTAAAAAAGCTTTAAGTATCTAAACAAAACTTCTGAGTGTTTTATACCTGGAAAAAAAAAAAAAAAAAAAAGAAAACATTGCAAGAGCAGAACTTCAACACCTATACCTTTATGCAAAGAAAGCTACTGACCACGCTGATGAGTGGAGTGGTGCAACTACTTTTCTTCAACTGAAATCTACTTTCTACTGAATAAAATACTGTCTTTTAAGCATGAAGTATTGGTAAATAAGAGTGAAAAATAAATAAATACAATATTTCATTGTGATGTAACTTGTTGCTTTATATTGATCTGATAAACTAATTCAAAATATTTGGTTGACGTGAGTTTTCCAGGCATCAGTATAAATGAAAAGGTTTACAAAAAGAGAAAAAAATCCAGGCCTGTCACTTATCTGTTCTTTTCACTGAATCTTGACTTTCTCCAATTTTAATACATCACTGTCAGCATGTACACCTACCTGCCTGCCCTGGAAATATTTAAGTACTGAAACTTCAGGCTTCATAAATGCTTTAGAAGTTTATATTAGTTAAAAAATAACAATACAAAAGGAAAATTACCTGCCTAGCTCTCATCCACACAAAGAATATATCTGCTAATCTTACGCTTACATATGACACAAAAAGCATGCAACTTGACATCCTGCTTCATTTAAGACTTGTTTTTTCAATTCCATCAAAATAATTATATTTTTAATATCACAAAAAAGGAGCAAAATGATCTGTTTTATTTTCTAGGCCTTTTTTTGCACCCCAAATTCTCCCTGGAACAGTTACAAAATCAACCCTCTAAAATAATGCTACAATTTTATAATCTACGTATACCTGCTTATTTAACGGCCTGAATAAGCAGTCTCTCCAGGTCACCAAGGCAAGCTGAAAGTAAGGGAAGAGAGATGAAAAATGGAATAAAAAAGTACTTATACACACATGCATACACACGTACACACAATAGCTTTTAAGGGAAGCTGATACAGTATGCAAAACACCTCAAAGTTTCATGATTACGTTGTGGTGCACATATTTCTCATTCAATAAAACAGATTTACCACAAAATCACCATTTATTTTGTTACTAATTCCTCCTATGGGGTTCCTTTTTCTGACTGAGAGCGATCTCCCACCAGCTCTGAAAAATAATGAACTTTGCAACTTTGACAATAGACAGCTTTTTCTATTGAGGACATTCAGGCTGGCACAGTCTCTTAGCACGGGACTAGTGAAAGGGAGAACAATTGACAGGAAGTTAAGTAAGGATAAAAACTGATATTCTGTCCAACACAAAGTTACTTTAGTGAAGCAGTAAAATAACATCTCTTTCCTAGCACATCTTCAGCAAGGACAATCCTTACCATTTACTCCCACAAGGGGTTCCACACCTTGAATAATTATGTTCTTTCCCTTTTTTTTTTTCCCCTTTTTTTTTTTTTTTAATTACTTTACATATGGGGAAAAAAAATTATCAATATCAAATCAATTTTCCAGCCTGTTACTGCAGTCAACACTGGGCTTGTGTCTTAGCAGCTTGGATGCTAGAGATCTGAAGTGTGTTCTGAAGCAAACAGAAAAGAACTGCAGTTTGTTCCTTGTTCTCTATTTGAAGCACTTCACTGAACTCCAAGTGGAAAAATGAGTCCACACAGACACACACACAGATAACAGCACATACAGCAAGTGTTCAAGTCAGCTTGTGACAATCTAATATTGGTAGTCTCAGTGGGTACAAAGGGGGTGGAACACCTCATGAAACACCTACATATATACTGAGTTGGTGGGGGGGAAGGGAAGGGTGTCCTAGGAGGACACTGAAAGGAGTCAAACTTCTTTCGTCAAACTGTCCAATGATGCCCACTTTAAAACTTCTGTGAACTTCCTACAACACTGAACTTCCAGGAGCAATGGTAATACCAATACAACAAATGCCAACAGACAGAACGAGCAAATCACTCGCTTCAGAAAGTGACCTACCGAATAAATTTCATATATTCCTTTACGACCTTCATCACACTCACGACGAACCCAGTGTCGATTGAGGTAGGCACATATCCCATTGAGTACTTTGCTTGAAAACCTATAATCTTCCCACTGTTGAGTGTAGAATTTCAGCACACTTTCATCCATCAAATCCTCACCATCCTAAAAAAACAATAAGTTTGCCAGTACTGTAGGTAAAGTGCAAAAGACACATGTACAGGTGTACAATATATCTACACTAAGCAATAATTTATAAGGAACAACAAGGGATAATGAATTTATTCTTGCAATAATAAAGCACAAAACAAAAATGGCACTTCCTAACCAAAGAAAAAAATAGATAAATAAAAATAGCACACAGAAAACCACCCACAAAAGAAAAGCATAGACAAAACTCCAGGAGACTCTACTTCCTACAGGACAGATCTGGAAACAGACAGCTAGACTGATGAGTGTGATCCGTAAAATGTACCAGGACAAAATATTCAGAAAAATAACCTCTTCACCCACTCCTATGCTACTACTTAGGTGGCTGAAACAAATGAGCATACACATATAAGGTCTTCTACAGAAATTTGTCAGGTAATAAATGAAAACAGTTTGAATGATCATGGCAATAAAATAGGAATGCATCCAGGATAAAACTGGGAGCCGACTTTCTGCCTTGTAATTAGTTTACACAGCTGCATACTTACAGGAGACTCCAAGCATTCTTTTATTGTTGCTCGAAATTAAAATCCTAGAAGCTAAAACCTTAATATTGAACACCTTCTCAAAAATAATTAGAAATTGCTCTCTGCTTTGTAAAAGCAGCCTTATTAGTAGTTAGCAAGTTAGTGTCTAACATCAGACATTTTCAACATTACAGGCAGCCATCCCCTCAGGATTACTAACAGCTAGTTAAGTGATCAGGAAGTCCGGCTATACTTGTTACAGGACAGCTCCAGTGGGTGTTTGCTTCTACTTTAACAACCCACATACACAGCTCCTTTGCAGGATTAGGGAACAAAAGCTTGCACCAAGGTACATTCTACAATACCTTCTAATGGTAAACAGAATAACTGAGATAAAACAAGTTTAAGTTAATTCCATTTACTTGTGATGACCGCGTACAGTTCTAATTCTGCAGGTATGAGTTTTCTCCTCAACTCGGCCCAACTTCCTACAAATACCACTCCATATCTTACCTTAAGGAGATTCGTCAAGTAGTTCTTCAGGAATTCTTTTAGTCGTTTGTACAATTCCAAACCCACAAACTGAGCACCTCCAGGTGTTTGACCTTTTTTTGATTTAGAAGGAGGTACTCCAGCTCCTCGTGCTTGATTGGACTGGTGTACACTAGTACAGTAGTTATAAACATGACTAACAAGGAAGTTAAGGAATATCTGTGTGAGTATAAGTTATTAAGAACTAAAAAGAAAAACCAATAACATATTAATTTCAAGAAGCTGTTTTCATATGGTCATAAATGACCTAACCATAATACATTACAAGACACACTAACCAGTGGAAAATAAAAACAAAGCTAGGCAAAATAATTTTAAGCAGAATTACCTGTAGCAGAATACACAGAACACTGCAGAGTTTACAGCAAATACTGAAACAAACCCTGAATTTACATAATGCTCCACTTAACAAGACCACCAGGAAAACAAAGCAGTACAGTTTGTTGCCGTTATCCCAAAGTAGTAAGTGGAAATCACATTGTTTGAAACACTTCATGCAAGTAAGCAAGTGGAAGAAGCTGCATTCCACAAAAAAGGAGACTAACACTGAAATTCAACTGGATATGGACTTGGATGCTACAAGAAGTTACTCTGATGATTCACTCAATAAATTATTAGCCAACAAGAACAAAGGTGCTAAGCAGTTACACTTCTGTTATGAGTCTGAGGGCAGCTGTCTCTGTGAACCCCCCTTGTTAGAATAACACTGCAGTAAGTAATCTGCAAGGTCTAATACGGTTTTCACTTCCATTCTAACTAACAAGCCAAGCTTTAACTACTAGACAGGCTTTGCCTGCGGTATGCCACACATTAGGAAATTAGTACAGTACTATAGTACAGTATAGTATTATAGTATTGCTGAGCTTTGACTTGTATCTTTCCCTTCTGAAAGACCAGGACAGGAAAACGAAAGACATCTGCACAATTAAAAACAAGGAAATGAGAAACCTACAATATAAGACGCATCACAGTCATTGTAAGCAGCAGACTTGCTTCTAATTTTTAAACACTAAAACTTAAGCAGAAAAATCTCAGAAACCATCCACTTCTTTGCAATTTCTATAAAAAAAATAGAAAACAGAATTTTAAACTGAGTTTCCCACTTACAAGTGCACTCTGCATTCCAGGGAAAGAGGCTTGTAGTCTTTTTTGATAAACCTGAAAAGAGCAGTCTGCTAAACCTTCTAAACAAGTGATTTATTTCAGCTCCTAGCTACTTGTTTGTTCAACTTCCCTGGCATTGCCACTACTTTTACCATCTACACTCCTGTTTCAGAATTCCCCACTGAAGAGAGTAATGTTATACAGTACAATTTTTTCTCTGGATATAAAACTCACTCTTCTCACTTCTTTCTTCAAAGAAGAAAAGCAGGGCTTATCTCACTGCTTAACTTCAAAATACATAGCGTGCTCTGAATTGCAGATGGGAAGACCCTTCACAGTGGCACAAGGAATTTAGGGCTTTGATTCATAAACATTCAGCTGGAATCTTGCATCCTCCTTCCCCTAGCTCTCCTAAACTGAGTGGCTTTGAGCAAGCCTAAGAATAAAACGACAGTGGGTAATTCTTACAGGTTTGGTAAATACTGCCTGGTGGTTGGACCAGACGATCTCACTGGTCCTTCCAACCTTAAGGATTCTATGATTCTAAGTTCTGCTTGCAGCAAAGTACCTGCTAGGAAATACTTCTGTGGATATTTTCACGTAGTGATTCTCACACTATAACAAGGAGAGAAGTTGATTTACCAATGGCCTACACTACAGTGAAATTGCACTCCTCAGGCTTCTGGTTGCTAACTTCAAGCTTACACTAGCAAACAAGCAAACCACCCAGAGGATGAACAGGTTGATCTCTAACTTCCACCTCATTCTTACGGCAATTCTATGATTCTATGATTCAAAAGGAGATTAGATCTACTTATCTAAATTAAAATTTGAGGTGGGAGATCAAAACGAAGCTTAAAAATTTATACAGCACTGTGTGAATTAAGATGAAAAATCTTTCAGAACTTTATTTTTCCTTAAAACTCTTTAAAATGTGACACAAGAAGCATCCAGATACAAAAACCAGTTTTACCACTTTCAGTACAACATACACTGCTTTTGACAATCTTTACTTTAAAAAGATCAGGTCAAAAGAAGTGTTCCCCACAGCACTGTTCCATAACGAATCCATGGCGCTGCACATCATCGTTTCCATTGAAGGAAAACATCCTGACATAACAACGCACCCGAGTGCTTCACCTCATCTTTGCCACCTGATTTTTCAGTAGTACAGGAGCTCACACACACCACCATCGATTTGGGCTGGCCAAGTGACTGCCGTTACATTGGCCATCTTCCTCTTCCCACATCATTTGCTGAGCAGTTCTGAACTTTCGTCAGCACGGAAAGTGAAACACGCTCAGCAGCACTGCAAATACATCGCCAAAACAGAAGCTTAAGAGTGCCATGCCACCTCTAAACTAACTTCTGCCTCAGAAAAATGCTAAAATACTCCATGAAGGAGTTTCTTCCTGAAGAAGCAGGTGCAAAGAAAAATTATAGGAGAGATGCATCAGTTCTGTAATACAACAGGAAAACACTTGGACTTTGTGTAGATGGTACAGAAAACTCCCTAATTTTAAGCAGAGTCCCTAAATTTAAGTAAACACAGAACTCCTATTTTCTTTTAAATGGATTCCCCTCTAAGTGGGGCAGCTGGGTCCCAACAGCTTTTCCATATTGCTGTGAAAAATCAGCATAGCTGCAATGTCTGCTTGGGAAACAGATAAATAAAAAAGGAACTGAAGAGAAAGTAGAAATAGTATAGTACAAAGCTATACAGCAGAGCAGAGTTACGTTAAGGCTTTTGAAAAGGAGGAGGTATGCAACAACAACAAAGCCAAACAACTTCCTAATCAGTTTCTACCGCCACTTCTAATCCCTTTCATATAAAAATCAGTTTTAGGCATAAATTTGTTATTTCGATTATAATCAACAGCAGCAGCTGGCTACACGCTGAGTACTCTGTCATTTCAAGGGTAAGTCAGGGTAGAACAGTTTCAGATTTGGCTATGCTTGTCAAAAATTCGTATTTTTGTGAATTATTCCAAAGGTATGCAAGAATAACGTATATATAGGAAGTAATTGAAAATTTTGACCAAAATATTGTTTTCTATACCCGTAAAACCACTTCTAATGGAAGCATACAAGTTATTATTGAAAAAGAGAATTATTTCACGTATTTTCTTCAAAAAGACTGATTTCAACACAGATGCATCCAATCTTATACCACAACCTCATCCGTACCTAAAGTTTCCAAGAGAAGTAGACACATCTACATGACTTAAACTGCTTATTAACCACATTAATCAAGTTCTGTGCAACTTCCTGAAATCATGAGGTTGTCAAGATCACATCACTTTTCAAAATAAGTGCTTTCAAGTTGAATTTCAACCTTCTGAGGAGTTGCAATGGAAAAACAAAACAAAGTACCACAAAATAACCACAGAAAAAAACTCACAAAAATAAACAGAAAACCAGAAGAGTTAATTCTTTTCAGGGAGATATCAGCAAGTCTCTTCTACATGTGTTAAGTCCGTTCAGTAACAGAAATTTGCAGATACCCTACAGAGCTTAAGCAAAGCAAAAGGAGGAAGAAAAAGAATTCTACATTTCAGTCTTTGTACGACGTACTACTGCTCTGTTAAGCCATTCCCACTTTAGTCAAGGAAGGACTGAGGCAGAGAATGACAGGACCTGCTACAGAATCAGTCATGCATTTACTATGAGAATTCAGGCATAAATAAATGATATATAAAAATGAATACTATGGGAATTCAGGCACACCTCTGATACGTTAATGTATGTCTGAGATCTGAGAAACTTCCAGCAAAAACTATTTGAAGACTAGCAGGTAACATTTTGTTTCACTCCACACGGTATAAGCTCAAGAGAACTGCAGAGAAATACTGAAATGCAAGGAAAAAAAAAGGCATTTTCAAACATAAATACGTATATAAAGTCTACAGTCTTTATTTGAACACGCAAGAACCAACATAACTGAGGCTGTTTTTAGGCTTAAAGTTCTTGAATTGACAGAAGTCTGTTTTCTACAGAATATTCTTGGTTACTATAGAAGCAAGTAGAATAGGAAGCAATCAGCACAGAGAATAAAATTAAAGGAACTGATCACACTAGTATAAATATACTCTGCACTTCTTTCAATCCAAAGCAGCAGTTTTCACAAGAATACCTAAGACCATGCGGTTATATCTGCATTTCTGCACAAGTAGTAGTAGATCCTTCAAAAAGCATACATACGTACCGTTACTTCTATCTTCACATTCCACATAAGCATTAACCGGTAGAAATGCTAACAAACATTGTATTGGATTTAAATAGGACTAATAGTAGACAGTTGAGGTTGCTTTGATATATCCAGAGTAACCTCAAACCATTTAACACTGAAATGAAAGAATGGCTTTGAATGAAGGCATCTCAAAAGGAACACTTCCTGAGGTTTAAGAACTGCATGTCCAAACAAGCGGGTATCTTTTTCTATGCAGAAAGACTAACAGCCTGCTCAGAGGAAAAAAAACCATGCTGTACTGCCTAGTAATTATCAGGTCCATGTGATCAGTACTTCTGCTTATTAAAAACCTAACTAAAGACAGAATTGCTAGTGAAAGACTTAGGACAAAGATTCATACAGAGACCTTGGCAAATAGTTGCCAAGGGAATAACTTGATGCTGCTTGGGCAGAATGTTTAACTGGTACTGACTATCCACAGGTAAGAACACATTGAATGTATTTAGTATTCTATTTTATGAATAGGGAGATTACTCTAAGTCATCTGGCATATTTAAAATGTTAATACACTATACCATCACTTAAGGTTTTTCTTTTTGCTAACATCTGAGATGAAATAACTACTTCAAAAGACACATCACAATAACCTTTTTTGATATGCTTACTTACATCTTATATACTTACTTACAATTACTTACATTTAATGCAATGGATAATCAATAACCCATGCTACATGCTATATAGTTAATCTTCTATTTACCTATTTAGGTACTATTTACCTTTCCTGGATGAAGTTGATGCTTGCCACGTAATTCTACTCTTGCTTATAACACAGCTTCAGACATTATTGCTGCAGGAGTTACTGGGCTCTTTGGTACCAGGAACAGTCTAATTATCTGGGTAAGAGACAGAAAAGCGCCCAAATAACGTACTTCATTTCAACTGCGGAGGACCAGGGGGAAAACAGTCATCTTTGAGAGCAAGCAGCATTTTAAAAGAATTTTCTTTCTAAATGGAAACTGTACATTCTCAACAGGAAATAAAGAACATGCACAAGAATGTAATTATAGTACAGTTCATCATCAAGAAGCTTGTAAGCAATGGTGAACAGATAGGACTGCTGAGGTGCTCTGGCACAGCAAAAGAGAACCACATGAATATGTACAGTACTAAGAAACATTTGGTAATGGTCTGATCTGACAAAAAAAAAAAAATCACCTTGAAATCAGAAGCATAAATTAATCTAGATTAGTAAGATTAGGGATAAGGATCTTCCGAACTACCATTCAGAAACAAGATTTCTTGGTTCATCTCTCCAGCATTCTCAAATAGAGAAAACCTTTGGAATAATCCCTGTATTATTTCCACAAGAAAAAAAAAAAAAAAAAGAGAAAAATACCATCTTGAATACAAGCTCTGACCCATACTCAGAGATTGAATCCAGTGTTTCACACAGGAGACTCTCTAAATAAAGAGAATAGACAAGAAATTGGACGTGCATCCTAGCAGTCTGAGCTACTCAACTCCTTCTAAGATTCATTTGAAAAAAAAAAAAAAAAACCAAAAAAAAACAACCAACAAGCAAACAAACACACTACAAAACTTGCACACCTCATTTCAGTTCTGGCCAGACAGAAGTAAGGGCAGTTGTGCTTACATGAATGGTTACCCTCCCGTTGTGAATTAAAGAGATCAAACACGTTATTTCAGAAGCAATATCTTGTCCAAATAAATAAATAAAAAAAAAAATAAAACAAGTAAATAAAAGAAAACACAACACAGTGGGAAAGCACAGGCAGACAAAAAAGAAGGATGAAGAAACGACCACACTGTCCACAAAATTTCCAAAGTTGGTGTTGCACGATCCAACATTTTAAAAAAAAGAATAGGGTCTGTACTGTCTTCAGACAGTACAGCTGCTGCTGAAACAAATCTGCTTTGCTTTCCAATCCAAGTTTTTTCATAGTCAGAGTCTCCTGAAAATAAGTCTATCAATCTACTGGAGTTGTTGAGCAAACGTTTCATACACGGCATTCAAAAGGGCAGAAACCTTTAAAGCACCATTTTGGACGTATGCAGTTGATACAGAATGCAAACTTCATTCTTATCACCACAGCTGTTTCAACACTCAGCCTAATCAGTGCCAAATATTCTGAAGTACCATATTACTAAATTAATCCACAAATAGAAGTCAACCACCAGAATTACACACTAAACAAATTCACTTATGAAAGAAACAAAACTTACTTTAAACTTTTCAGGCCCAGCCTTTCCTGCTGCTTCTCTTGAAGCAGCAGCAAGAAGGAAATGAGAAGTTAATGTGCAACATACCTCTTTTTCATCCCACGAACATTTGGGAATATCAGGTAGAGAAGAAAAAGGCAAATGTAGTAAGAATAACAGAATACTAACTATGTAGGTCACCTCGAAAGTAATGCTCATTTGCTTCCATGGAAACTACAAGAGCATAATAACACTATTTGATAGAGCACATTCTCAGCTACAAAACACTACTTTTCAACATAATCATCACCATTAATGATGCACTTTCACCAGCTATGAACAAGAGTCTGCATGGCAGGCTCCTAAAAATTGCCCATCAGCACTGCTGAAACGTACTAGCCACCAACTCACCATACCAACATCCACTGCATAGACTGCACTGCTGTTCAGCAAGAGTCCACAAGTGTCAATGGATGCCAGTTTTTCTATGTGGAAGAATTCTATGACACCTTTACTTCATACACAGTTTCCAATCAGATGCCATTCTGTCAGACTGTCCCTCCGACTGCCATTTGCCACAGATCAACAAAATACAATGGAATACTGTCAGGAAGTTTCAGCCTCTACTGCCATACTAACACATGCCACTGATCCTGCGGACCAAAACAATAAAATAGGAGGCGTTCCAACGTTGCATTATGTATGAAGCTTTTCAGACTTTGTAGATTTCTTTCCCTTGGTCAAGAACAATACCACTACTAGCACCACAAGGAATCCGTCACCTCAAGTCTTAGAAAAGTGCTGATCCTAAACCAAATGATATTCCATCTTCTTATCTCTACTAAAGAAGTAATCTGGATGCTCAGTGTTCAAGGTTTTTTTCCTCCTTAGGAGCACGGTGTCGGCAGGTACAGATAGGACTCTGTAACCATTCTGATCATGTAATCACATGTACAGAAAACCAACTTCTGTCTTCTTACAAAGCTCACAGAATCACAGATCCAATTACCTTATAGCCCCAAAGCTTGTCTTTTTGAATAAATTAACAGTGACTAAAACTTGATGTGCAATTCCAAATATGTACCAAAAAAGTTTTGAACATGGTTTTATGTATCAGAATAATAGTCTATAAAAAAACCTCAAAAAATAAGAAAAATATCAGAGTTGCTTGAAGCAAGAGAGGAAATCTATTCAATTATTGTTTCTTTAATCGTAGTTGTCTACATGCTTGGCTGTGCTATAATCTCTTTAAGGAGCACTTACTCTGCTATATTATAGGTTTGTAAAGCAAACACTGACCAACAGATGCAGAACAGGTCTGGTGAGAAGTTTTATCTTACTGTGGTTCCTCATCAAATCCATTTATATATGTCTTCCTCAACAGGGCAAAAAAGTAGGATTACTCAGTTTCCAAACAAAGTTTGGAAGTCAAACACTGAAGCTGTAAAACAAAGAGAGGTACAATTCTCCTTAAAATTAGTGATTAAAGGCCTTTACACATTACCTGACAGAAACAAGTTGCTCGAAATCTTCCAAATAGTAGCTTAGTAAACACAGATAGCAACAGTTCCCAGCATGGGAGATGATGGAAAATTTCAACAGTTCTTAGAGTCAAGCTAGAAATTCAAGATAAATCCATTGCACATCCCCAAAGTAGCTGGAACGTTATAAAACCAACTCAGAATAAAGTACTATTCTGAGGTTAAGGAAGGAGAAATTTTCAAGGTAACCGGACATGACTGCAAATAAGATCCATAGCATAATGACAAAAAGTAACATAAAAAGGGAGAAATTTTTTTCTGTTTCTTTCACTGTATCATTGACTCAAAAATTAGACTTATTAATAGAATCACTTTAAATATCTGTTCTGTCAAAGATGATCATAATCAGATCTGAAACTCAGACGTATACAACATTACAGTTTTTCAGACAACAGATTGTTTCGGCTTATTTGCCAGACAAATTAAACAGAACAGGCTAATTTTCAAAATAAAATTATATTCCTAGAAGTGACTAAGTCAAATACAAAGCAACTTTGAGTTTAAATATATAAAAAAAAAACCCCTATCTTATACTAACAATGAAAGTATTAATTGACCTAGACAGTAGGATACGTGTAGAGTTCCATATATCTGGATTTTGCCATGCTTTGTCTGGTGTAAACCTGTTGAATTCCAGCTCTTAGGTCGTCCCATATCTGGTCAAGACCAATTTGTTTAAGTCCGTGTGGGTTCTGACTCCTATTAGATGACATTTTTTATTTCCTGTAAGGTCTTCCAGTGCAGCAGCCTGAGATCTGGTTATTCCTCCATCAGAATCACAAGTAAAGTAACATTCTACACTCAGTTGCAGTAACTCAGCAAGAGATTCTTTATATGCAAACAGCAATGTTTCCCACGAAGATAATCTGCATAAGAAAAAAAAAAAAGTTTATATTACAAAACATTCTGCTAGAGGAAAGGAGAAAATCAATGGTATAATTCACACAGATAAGAAATCCATTACGAGATCTGAAGTAGAAGAAACAATTCTGCAGTTTATCAATGTGCTATAAAATATGACTATTAGTGTCCAGATCTGCCCAAAGTCTGAACATAGCTCTATCGCTGCTGCTGACAGTAAAAACCTAATGCTAGTAAGAAAATAGAAGCAACTGTTCCAAGTAGCAGATAGTATCCTACTAACAAGTGTTTCCTTTCTATACAACAAGGAAACCCTAGTGCTTCACTCAGCTCAACGTTTAGTTTTAACTCACAGCTTTAACAAACATCACGGTGGTTATCTAAAACAACCAGAAGATATTAAGTATCGTTATTTTTCTTCTTTTATCACTAAACCTTTCCAGATTTGAAGTTCTATCACAGATAATCTTAAAATCCAAGGTATTTTAGGAAGAACTTTTATCTGGAAAATGCATGCCTATGTGAATTTCTATGTTACGTCAATGAACATCACTTTCCTGACGTGCTTGTATGAGCAAGAGAACATGCAAAGAAAACTAATTGAGTGCATAAAATAAAGATTTGCTTTTATAGAAGTCCTCCTCTGCAGCAATTAGAATTAGCAATGCAGAATTAGGAGATTCCCCTAGGTGTCAAAGCAGTTAATGTGGTAAAAAAAATTAACAAGTAACCAACTTGTAATAAATAAGGATCAACTGACATTACAGACCATCTGCTGTGAAACATTATTACGATAAAGAGAAAGAAATAGTGCCTTACGATAATGGAGCCGGCACCTGCCAGGATCACTTGCAGTGTTTCATAATTTCAAAGACAGGCACACTGAAACCTGATAAACCTTACTATTTGTTTTCATCTCTTCGCTGTGCAATGTGAAGATGTTCTTCCAGGGTCTAAAATTTGACGTCTGTTCTTTGTCACAGCCACTTCTAGAGTATGCACACTCCACTTGAGATTTCACACAGTTTTCAAGGGTCGATATTACCTTATACCCTCCCTGCACGACCCCTTGCAAATTACAGGTGGGGGAGGGCTGGGAAGGGGTGACAACATTTAGGTTTTTCAATCAAAGAATCAGCCTTTCCACAGTAACACAGAAGCTAACAAACCTCATAGGCCTTTACTATCCATCATCTCTAAGCATTCAAACCTCATTTCAAAGTAAAAAAAGACAACATTTAGAAGTATTTCCATTACATCAATCTGTGCAACAAGTACTGTCTCATTTCAATCTGTTTCTAAAGCTAATTTTTCTTTTACATGAGCAACGATTACTTGGAAGATTAGGGGGAGAAAAAACAGGAACAAAAGCAATACATAACCTATAAAGGGTACATAACACTCCACTTTGCTTTTCTACAATTATTTCAAACTAATAACAAAGACACACTGGAACAATGCACCATGCTGAAGCGTAAAACAAATCATATCCTATTCATATTTAATGTCCTAAACAAGGGTGCTACAGGAGTAATGATGAAGGAATTTCACAGCTTTGCAATGAAAGCCAGCAAGTTCAAAGGTAAAAGAGCGGCTATTCGGTCTTCTTGAGGCACAGTTTGAAGGGCATTTACACACCCACAAGCTTGGACTAAGTCCTAGTAGTCCTACAATCCTATTGCGCTGTAAGAGGAAGCAAGCAAATTAATTTCATCTCTAGAATCCAAGATAATCAACTTTTAAATTCTGGTACTACTTCAACTCTCCACGTAAGCAAAAATTGACAGTCATGAACCTATATTACTCTATCAGTACCCATAAAAAGTGACTGACCATTACTCCTACTTATCTGTAAGAAGTAAACAGCCTCGAATTTGATGTAGTTTAGTAAAAATAAATACTACGTATGTGAAGAAAAATAAACAAATACATAAACATTTTCCCCAACTCCTACAAAATACTTAGTCAATGCATAAAAGTTCACAAAAAAAGACTAATCCCATAATTAGCTAAGAGAAGGTGCTAAAACCATTACAACAACCCTCTCAAGGATGCCATTCCGTCACACTGCCCTACTGCTGCCAAAATACAATGGAATGTTGTCAGGAAGTTTCATCCTCTACTGACATACACCAAAATAAGCTGGTAGATGCTGTGGGCCAACATAATAAAACAGGAGGCACTGCTTTCAGAGCCATTCTTGTACTTCTCCCAAAACTTCAGAACAGAGAGATGTGCTACTCCCTCTCCTTTCCATTACCCAGGGTGGAACACAGCTCACATGCAAAGCATCAGATCTCACTTGAAAACAGTCGCTTGAGTTTTACTGACCTTTTAATAACAAGCTGTATTTCTTTTAGCTATCCCTTACGAGGAAAATAACATGCACGTTGGATAGGTTCTATAGAGAGTAAATTTTCTGGAATCATATGACAAGCACACCGAAATCTGCCTGATTTACAGTGTCTCCAGTCATATAGTAGAACTACTACTTTATTTTGACGTCCCAATACAACTTCTGCCTTCACAGCTATACAGCCAATGCACTGTTCTCTCATAAAAACTATAGTCTGGAAATAAGTGGTTAAGACAGTTTACTTCTGTATCTGTATAAATAATTACAGATGGAATTTGAAGCTGCTCGTTTCTTGACCCACTAAAAACTTGCAGGCTTTTCCCAACTGATCAAGATCCCAGGGAGCCTTGTTTTTGTTGGGTTGGATGTGGGAGATTTTTTTCTGTTGTTGTTATTGTTCTTGATCTTATTTCCTCCCACTCTCCTGTATTTCAGCAAGTCTGATCAAGAATTTCAACAGATCTCTTGTACTCGGCAATCAGCAACTCTTAAAAAGGCTATCAGCATTTGGCTCCCAGAGTCTCATAACCTAATAAGTCTATTTACTCTTCGCATATCCCCACTTACCAATTACAGGCAGCTCTATAGATATAAAACAGTCTAAGATTTCTCAAGTCATGCAGAAACATCTTTAGGAAAGGCACATAAATGAAGAGAGCCAAGAACAACACACCTTCTTCCACTGCCAGCTAATCCACAAGATGCAATTTACAACATTACAGAGCTACAAGTATTAGCTTGGGCAGGATGGAGGACAACTTAAAAATTCTCTTTCACTTTTTACTTCCATGGGTGTTTTTTTTTTTTTTTTTTTTTGTAAAATTTTTTGTTCAAGTTCTCAAATCTCACAAATCCTAAAGGATACAGCCTCCACTCTAGCACATTTATTTCTGAAGGGGTGGAAAGAGGCAGAAGAAAGAATTCTATTTTGCCCCTGTAATCACTTGCACTAGTCATTTATGATTTCTAAGACACTTTCCATAATCACATGCCTCCAAATTAATTATTACCACCTAAGTTTAAGTGAGGTTATCATTATGAATTCAAAACTCCAACCGAACATAGCTTAGTTGAGCCACAGTCCATTACACAACATTTTATAGCACTGAGGTTTCTGTCCAGAAGCGTTCTAGGTCACTAAACTGTATAGCCAGTTTACTCACGTAAAATGACCTCGTCCTTACAGCAAGACTAGAAGCAAACAAGCAAGCATACACTTCACACAGCACAAACATGTAACTAATCAAAACCTAGAGAATCTGCCTATAGTAGGCATTTATTTCCACCACATTCCATCAGAATGAATCCACAACTACTGTTTTATAAAAAAAGTTATTCAAAAATCGCAACAAATTATATCAAACCAGAAGAGAAATATTCCTTGCTAAATTTGACAGTACTTCAATACCCAGCTATGCTCAGTGGTGTACAGTTTGAACAGTTCCTAGTTTACCTCACCTTACCTAACGAGCTCTAAAACTTAAGCTGACTCCTGCCTTCTTTCGGCGAGGTGCCACTCCGACGGGCAGTACCTGCAGCTCTACCAGAACCACCCTTCTACCTTCATTCATGCACCAATGACTAAGCTGCCAACTGGAAAAACAAAAGTTGTTCCTCACAGATAGAAAGATATAAAAATACAGATGAATTTAAACACTTAAGCAAAACAAGGAAGTAATGCGAAATTGCAGTTTTCACATGTTCTTAAGTTATGCATAACTGTGCTCACTAAAAGCCTTTTTTTAACTGACATGGTTTTAACTTGCATGCCTAATTTCAAGGATTTTTCCAAAAGATGACAGTACCTGAGAGCATAAAGTTTCAGTGTGCTGCTTTTTTACCTCTCTCTGCTTATTCTTTTACCGATTCTCAACACTGTTCCATGGCTTCTTGTTTTCAGCTTTACCCGTATCTTGCTAGAGCAAACAGTTCCTGCAGCTAATGACAGGAATCTCAGTACAGCAATGCAACAGCTAGTGCAAAATGAACAAGTGCTGCCTCATAAACAAAGGCTAAGTCTAGACAAGGTAAATTTTCCTGATACATCTACACAGTCTTCTCCACTGGAAGCTGAAGTAAACTTTTGTAAACACTAATGATCTACTAAGAAAAGTTTCATGGTAGTCTTACTGTACTGACATCAACTTTGTAAATAAGAGACCACATCCCTAACACAAGTATATTTCTGAAGTGAACGCTTTCTCTAATTTGAAATCTCACATCTTTTTGTGTTGCAAACAAGATGCAGGGTGTTTTATCATTGTTTTTTCATTTGTTTTAAACTGAGTGTGCAGTGATAAGTCTTATAGTTT